TTATAAAAATACTAATAATAAAAATAATAAATAAAATAATAAAATAAAATAATTGAAACTCATTTTATAACAATATGTTTATTATCTTATATATATAGTATATACCATAAGGTAATACAGTTCTTTATATATAGTATTTTTATTTTTCCTTTTTGCTATATGGAAGAATATTATCAGTTTGGCAATACTTAACTGTATAGGCAAGAAGTCATGATGAGCTAGGTAGACTCATATAATAATACTGATAAGAATAGGATAAATTAGTTTAGACTCTAAGTTGAATTAAATCTACTTTATAGCAGGTTGTGAATAGGTACTAGTAGAGTAACTGGTTGAGTCTTATTATTGATATTCGTATATATATATATATTGTCTTCTTTAGTTGTTAAGTTAAGCATATGAACTCTTGTAGTTTTATAATTATATTGAATAAATGATAAGGCATGGCTTGCTGAAAAAGAAAAAATTTTTGCTCCATAATAGTTTAGATAATCAGCAAGAAAAGTATTGTTAAAAGTAGATGCATATATTAATTCAGAAATATTTTATTTTTAAGACTATAATCTAATAATTTTTTTTTTTTTTAATTAAAGGTAGCTTACTATGCCAAGCAGATTTTATTAGTTTAATACTAGGTGTTAAACTCATCATTAAATGATAAGTTATAGTAATATCTACTATATAATATCTAGTTTTAAGATTAATATTTACTATTATATAATCTTATTGATTAATTCAGGTAATATGCTTAAAAAAAATTAAGTAGTTAATATATCATATATAAAATATGAGATTTTTGTTCTGAAAATCAAGTTTGGATCATATAATTTACTATATTATTTTCAAAGCAAAAACTCTATATAGAAGCAATTTGATTAGCTAAAAAAAAAATTTAGTAAAACATATTGAATAATTTATTTGTTATTGTTATATAATTAATAAGCTTGTTTGATTTTTTTTCATTAGGCTATGATTTAATTTATTATTTAGCATCTTATTAGTTTTTTATAGCATGTATAAGATATGAGTAAATTATTAGTATATTTGCATCATAATCTTGAACACTCAAATATAGAAGTTAAAATAATCTAATTAATCAACTTTTTATAAAGTCTTTCAAAAAAAAATTACATATATAAAAGTTTAACTAATATGGGAAGAGCAACTTTAAGTTTATTCTAAAGTAGATATGTATGTATGTATATACATATATTTATTATTATTATATATATCAGATCTTATATTAACATTACATATCACTAATAAATTTAATGCTAACTATTTAAATATATATTCGTAATATGACTTTTTGTTATTTAAAGTCCTTTGTTAATATAGCTTATACTGTTTTGAGGTTTTACTATATAAATAGTTAATTAGTAGATATAATAAATTATATAATAATATGAATATGTATCTATAGGCTAACTATTTATATCTATCAATTAACTATTTATAGGAGTCAGCTAAAGCAGAGTTAATTCAATATATGATCTATATATTGCATAAATTGTATTCTTGATATTTCTATATATATATAAATAATAACCTAAATACATCAAAAAAGTAACTCTAACTCTAACTCTGCTTTAGCCTTCCCCTATTTTATTAATCAGTAAACCCTTAAAACAGTATAAGCTATATTAAAAAGGGCTAAAAATCGATACTTCTGAGTATTATAGAAAGGGTCAGGACTAATTAAGTTAAAAGAATTCTATTGACATTGATCCATAAAAAGATAAAAGTTACAGACTACACAATGATATAATAACCATTTAGCAAATCTTAATTTTTGGGTTGTCTAAAGATCAGATAGAAACTTTAATAATATATATAATATTTAAGAAATTATTAGACGAGATACAGAAGTAATATTGTGTAAGGTTTATCTGATATAGAGGTCAGAATCAGTTGTAAAATTTAAAACCTGAATTAATTAAATGCGATTATGAAAAAAACCAATTTATATTAAACCGAACTGGCTTAAACCGAATTTAACTCGAATTGTCAGATAAATATTTTGTCAAAAAGAAAAACTTGAAATTATTTTTTTTGTAATATTGGATATATTGTTTATTAACACGTAATTTCATAAAACTAAATGCTAATTTAAAAACCAGTTTGTCAGAGGTTACAACTGAATTAGAATATTACAAAATGATTTACTATTTAAACTGATTTAATCTGAAGTTGAAGTTGAATTTCATAATTCAGTTTTGACCTTTAATCTGATATCTATAAGATTTTATTATTGTATTTTTATAGTCTAACTTCATAAAAAAGCATACAGTTTTTGTTTTATAGGTTGGTTCTTTTATTTTATGCTTAAGTAGATTTCAAAAATGAATACCTTATTGAAATATTTAATAACCTTAAAGATTATTATAGATTCTTATTTTTGTCTTCTTATAAACCATCAATAGTATAGAAATATTGTTCTGATATTATAGAATCTTATAAATGATATTATTTTTAAGAAATCATTTAAATAAATTGTATGCTATATAGTGTCCTGTAGCAGTAATACCAACAGGTAAAAAAAAAAAAAAATTTATTCTAAAATATTTATATTTCTAATAAGCGTATTTTGTTAGAAATTCGATTTTTAATATATAACTATTTTTATTATATTAGATTCGAAAAAATTTCATAATATACATTATTTGTTTGACATTTGTTAGTATTTGTATTATTAGGTATGAGAACTTTGATGGACTGATAAGAAGTAACTCTCGACAAAGCAACATATAGTTGACCATATAAAAAAATAAGTTGTAGTAGATGAATGTCTACTTGATTTAATATCTAACCTTGTGCCTTGTTAATAGTTATAGAAAATGCAGCGCATACAGGAAACTGGCATCACTTTAAAGTAAATAGTAATTTGGTATCAGAAGGTGTTAATATTATTCGAGGTATGAAAACTAATTTATTAATATATGATCTTGTAATAATTTCTGTATCTATTACTTTGCTATAAAGTTTACAACAAATTAAGCAAGTCCTATTGCAGAGACCCTTTACTGAGTTTAGGTTTCATAAAAATATGATTAGAGTTTCAATTTTTAATTTTAATTCATCAGGAGGAATACTGGAAATATTTAGAGATCTTAAAAATTCAGGAGAATATAACTGAGACTGTTCTGTATTACTGTCATCAGTTAAATTTACAGAGTTAGCACTGAGATATACTTTAACTTTGCCAGGAGACCAATTTATCATTATGTCAGTAATCTTATCAACATTATTGTTTGTTGGTATTAAAATAGCTCTACTTGTAAAATAATCTTTATTTTCTGAATTTTGGGCAAACTTTGAATAGACGAAGTTGATAACGTCTGATAATTTTCTTCTTGTCATTATTAAATCAAAAAGAAGTTCTACTATATTTTCTGTATCTGGAATAATTGAATATTTGCTATCTCCTATTTGTAAAAAAAACTTTGCAAAGTTTTTCTGTTTTAAATTCTTATTTGCATTATTAGTTTGATGAAGTCTCATATTAATTATTAACTTCATTCTTCTAATTTGTCTCTATAGATAGAATTGAGATAAGCTAGCTAAAACTGTATCAGTACTAGATATATATTATATAACAGGCAGTACTTAATAAAAATCACCTCCAAAGACAAAAACTTTTCCTCCAAATAGTTTGTCTATTTGAGTTATGTCACGAAATATCTGGTCAAGCACTTCAAATCCAAATTTATGAACTATTGGAGCTTC